TAACTTCCTTGTATTTTTATGAAAATTTTATGGACTGCTGCATAGGATCTTGAGGAGTAATACCAAGAATCGAAAGTTCACACTTTTCAGAACTATTGTGATAGACCTTAAGAGGGTCACTTGATTTAAATTGTGGGAGAGGTATTGGGGAAGGTATCTCTGAGGAGCAGATTTTGTAAACCAGGCTAACCAACTCAAGGGAACGGTAGCATGGGTGAAAAGTTTGAAGTAGGCAAAGTTGTTGGTGTTATCAAGGAACTACGAGAAGACCAGTACACATAAAGTATTATGATCAAGGAGGGCAAGAGTAATAGCAAATTTGCCAGTGCATTTGAGAGTGTAGAACCCGTTTTAAGGATTCTAGATTTTACCCTGTGACCATGAAATGCTGTGAAAGGCTTTAAGCAAGGGAAGTGATATGATCTATGTTTCCAGAAAATCACTCTTGACTGTTTAAGGAATTTTAAAAATGATACATTTTAGTTCTTTTCCATATTGGTAGTTGCAGTATTCTTTCCTGAGTATAATTAAAACTCTAAAAATTTTACTCAGAATTCAGGATGTACTAAGCTAGTATAACTTGATTTGGATACGTATTTTTCAGAAATCCTTGCAGGACAGAAAAAAGGCAAAAGGAATGCTTTTTGGGGCCACATGACATTTTATTCTTTGGTTAAAATATCTTCACTTCCTGTGAAATCTTTATAAAATTACTTACGTTCCATTATTTGGACTAAGTGGCTAAATAAACTATCGTGAGGATACACACTCAGGCAGCTCGTACATTGGGTGCACAGACTACATTCATCATTGTAACTCCACAAATGTGAATTCTCTGGAGCTGTTATATATGAAGTACATTTATTTCTAAGAGAATGCCCACTGATCTTGCTCCTCTCCCATTTTTTCCATATTAAAGGTTTCTTTTACCTGTGTATCAACAATGATGATGTGCTAATATTGAAAAGTTACTCCTTTAAAGACAAAGCACCCTTGCAGTCAAATAAAGGGAGAGAAAGTGGCATTGCTTCTAATGCCTATATTATTTATTTCTCTTCAAAATATTCCTGTGGCCTTGGTGTTTATAGATCTAGCATTCTAACAAAGAAAATGCATGAACTTTAATGTACACTATTCATCTTCTTTTGTTAGTAGTATTTAGCTAACACAGAGACCCATTTTGAGATTACTACTGGTTTAAATGCCCCATTTTACTTTCCTTTCAATGACATTTAACTTTTTTTTGGTTTTGTTTTTAGATATATTGCTTTTAAGGGTTTTATATTGATGGAACCTAAACCTTTTTTTTTCTCATTATTTCTTTTAATCAAATATGGAACTTCACTTGGCTATTGGCGACTTTTCCCAAACCAGAAAAGGGTACTCAGTTGGTTAATTCAGGTTGGTGGGGTTCTTTTCCCTTCATCTAAGTTGGGGCAGACAAAAAGGCCAGCAAGGAAAGTAGGTATTGGAGGAGTTAATTAGGCTTCCAGCAGACCTCTGGTGCGTATTTCTGGAGCAGTGTATGTTTTGGCTATTGTTAGAACCTTATTATACTTAGGAAATTTATGTGTGCCTTGAATTTAGATTGATATTTTAAAAATCACTTCATATTTTGACTATGTGTTTTAGATTTTCCAGGAGTGCTCTGATGTTAAATATTCTTTCTATTTTTTCATGTATTCCTCAGTCAGAAAAATGCCCTTTCCCATATTTGATTCTTGTTTCGTATACTACTTGGCTCTAGTCAGGTTACCTAAACATTTCTGAATTACCATTTATGTGCTATTAAGATAGGTGACCAGAGTACTGTCTTCTAGTTTTCTTCATTTACAAATCTATAGATTTGAATTTTTTTGTGTGAAATGGTTCTTGAATTGATGATAGAGATAATGACAAGAAATGAGGATTAGCAGTGCTAATAACATACTGAAGGAAGAGGGGTAGAAAAAAAGATTCTCTCGTTTGTAAGGAACTCAACGAGCAAAAAGCAACCCAGTTAAAAAGTGGGCAAAGGACATGAAAAGACACTTCTCAAAAGAAGACACATACGTGGCCAACAAGCATATGAAAAAATTCTCATAATCACTGATCACTAGAGCGATGCAAATCAAAACCACAATGAGATACGATCTGATAATAGTCAGAATGGCTATTATTGAAAAGTCAAAAATTAACAGATGCTGGCAAGGTTGTGGTGAAACAGAAAGTTTATACATTGTTGGTAGGAGTATAAATTGATTCAACCATTGTGGAAAACAGCGTGGTGATTTCTCAAAGAACTTAGAAGTAACTCTGGACCTAGCAGTCCATTTATTGGGTGTGTACCCAAAAGAATATAAATTGTTCTGCCATAAAGACACATGCACATATATGTTCATTGCAGCACTGTTCACAATAGTAAAGATGTGGAATCAACATAAATGCCCATCAGTGGTAAGCTAAAGAAAAGGTGGTACACACACACACACACACACACACACACAAAATGTAATATTATGAGATCGTATCCTTTCCAGCAACATGGAGCTAGAGGCCATTATCCTAAGCAAACTCCCACAGGAACAGAAAACCAAATACTCCATATTCTTACAAGTAGAAGCTAAATATTGAGTACATATGGACATAAGGGAACAAGAGACACTGAGACCAACTTGAAGGCAGAGGGTGGGAGGAGGGCGAGGATAAAAAAAACTATGGACCAGGAGTGGTGGTTCATGCCTGTAATCCCAGCACTTTGGGGGAACCAGGTGGGCAGATCATAAGGTCAGGAGTTCGAGACCATCCTGGCCAACATAATTAAATCCCATCTATACTAAAAAATACAAAAAGTTAGCTGGGCATAGTGGCAGGTGCCTGTGATCCCAGCTACTCAGGAGGCTGAGGCAGGAGGTTGCAGTGAGCAGAAATCACACCATTGCGTTCTAGCCGGGGTGACAGTGCAAGACTTTGTCTCAAATAATCTGTACACCAAACCCTGGTGACACATAATTTACCTATATTACAAACCTGTACAGGTACCCTTGAACCTAAAGTAAAAGTTAAAAAAAGAAAGAAAAAGAGATTGTTTCTGACCAGAAATGGCCTGTGGATGAAGTGTTATGTTAGCTGTGTGTGCTATCTTAAGGAGGTTTTGGGACTCTAAACTGAGAACCACTTACCCACAACTTTCTCCTTTTTTTCATAGCAGAACAACTTAATATCCACAGTTTTATCTCCTCTCTCCCTCCCTGCAATATATGAAGTAACATACAACAAACAGTTGGTTAATTTTCTGAGCTATGATAGAATTTTATGTGAATAAATACATTGCTAACGCACACATTCCCTGGCCTGCAAATTTTTGATAGAAAAGAACTAACTTGTCTCTCAGCTTTTTTTCTTTAATTGAGCAATCATTAATACTTTTCTAGTTACATAGTATATCATATACTTTTTTCTCATAGTTTTGGCTTTATAAGTCTGTAAGTTTTATATGTGATATGGGAAGGCTGTTTCATATGAATATTGGAGAATATAAAATATTGATAGTTTTGGAATTCAGATTGTAGGGCGGGTTTGGATATTTGACACAGAATGAGAGGAAATTAATATTACTCTTGATGTCAAGATAAAGAGATTATAAAGATTTAAGATACACTTTAGTTCAGTTGTTTTCTTTAGACTACAGTGCATATAACATCATCTAGTTTCTTCGTTTTTGAGAATGACTTCTACTTGAATGGGAATAGAGAAAGCTTATTGTATAGAACTCTTTTCAACAAGATTCCTTTTCCCCCTACTGTGGAAGAAATGTGGAAATAGCTTTATTAGAATGCTTCTTTATAATGGATATTTTGTATCGATATTTAGAATTTTATGCTGTTATGTATTTTTATTAAAATCATGGTGGATCTTTTTTTTTTGAGATGGAGTCTTGGTCTGTCACCCATGCTAGAGTGCAGTCATGTGATCTCGGCTCACTGCAACCTCTGCCTTCTGGGTTCAAGTGCTTCTCCTGCCTCAGCCACCTGAGTAGCTGGGATTACAGGCATGTGCCACTGCGCCCAGCTAATTTTTGTATTTTTAGTAGATACAGGGTTTCACCATCTTGGCCAGGCTGATTTTGAACTCCAGTCATGATCCACCTGCCTCAGCCTCCCAAAGTATTGGGATTATAGGTGTGACCACCATGCCCAACCCATAGTGGATCTTAGAAGGTAATTTCAGAATGTGTTAGAATTTTGAGATTTTAATAGCTTAAATGCATAAAATCCAGTTAATAAAATACAACTTCTGAAAACCTATTAAAACCTATTGTATCCTTTTCAGTGTGAATACAGAGATTATTTTATGCATATTTTATGCATAGTGGATTGGTTTACTGTATTGATAGCTGGTATTTCCAGGTATTGAATATGATTCTCTTAAAGGCCATCTAATAAAGACAAAAATAAGGAATTGAACTTAATTAGTGGAGGAGCAAATGATTATTAGGTATATTAGTTTGCTAAGGCTGTTATAACAAAACACCACAGATTGGGAAGTTTAAACAACAGAAATTTTTTTTTTTAACAGTTTTAAAAGCTTGAAGTTCAATATCAAGTTTCTGTCAGGGTTGGTTTCTCCTGAGGCCTTTCTCCTCTGCCTGTTGTAGGTGGCTGCCCTCTTGTTCCCCTTCCCACATGATCATATCTCTTTGTGGGCACACCCTTGGTGTCTCTTTTTCCTGTAAGGAGACCAGATTCATTGGATTAGGTCCCCACCCTCATGTCCTCATTTGAACTTAATCGTCCTTTTGAAGACCTTATCTCTAAATAGCAATATGGTCTGTGCTCCTGGGGATTGGTACTTCACCATGTGAATTTTGCAGGGGAACACAGTTCAGCCATTAACAGCTGGTAATTAAATCAATCAAGAAGGAAACAAGTAATTTGTAAGAATTACTTGTTTCCTTCTTTAATTAATAAGGTTTGTGTAGAAGTGCAATTGTTCTGTGTTTTTTGTTGTGTATCTCCTAGCCGGAGAATTTTCATCCTTGGGCCTTCTCATCATGTGCCCCTCTCTCGATGTGCACTTTCCAGTGTGGATATATATAGGACACCCCTATATGACCTTCGTATTGACCAAAAGAGTAAGTATATAGAAGTATTACAGCTTTCAAATAGCTAATGTTCTTTTAATAGGACTTGTAAATTAATTAAAAAACTTACAGATATGAATAAGTAATATCTCAATATTTAAAATAAAATTTGTTATAACTAATCTGCATAAAACAGCAAAAACAACAACAGCAACAACAACAACAAAAAAAAAACAAAGGAAATTCTTCTATATCCTTAAAAGGCAACTAGTGTTTTTCAGTTAGCTACAGAAATCTGTCAGATCTGCTAGTCTGCAGATTGCAGTGGTTACATTAATATTCAGGAAAATACCATGTATTCAGTGTACCAGGAGACAATAAATTAGTACCCATACCAGTTTCATGAAGATTTTGAGCATGTTAACCTACTTCTATGTAGTGTCACTTTTCTTACTGTATATAGGTAATGCTGATAATATATTTTCTTTCAAATGATTTTTATGGGGAAAAATGAGCCTGTAATTATGAAACTCTGAAAGAAGGGTGCTATATAAATGATAAACATATTTTATTTTAAACATGCCTACAATTTTGATTGACTTGTTTTTTCCATAGGATTCCAGTCACATTTTTATTTAGTTGTTCTTATACAATAGAATATAAAGTAAAATATAGAGTATAAAGTAAAACCCTTTTGACTTTATAAAGGTATTTTTGGTGGGGGGTAATTTTAAAAATATGGAACAGTATAAAGAATAGTATAAGAAATAACTGATGTACTTAACATCCACAATTTATTCAGTTTCTTGCTCATCCTGAACTCAGTTTACCTTCCTAGAAGTAGCTAGCTTCATGAACTGGGTATGTGTCCTTTCATCAAATTATTCACACACACACACACACACACACACACACACACACACCCACATCCACACCCACCCATATATATACTTTTTTGTTTTTAAAGAGTCTCATTCTGTGGCCCAGGCTAGAGTGCAGTGGCATGATTATAGTTCACTACAGCCTCAAACTCCTGGGCTCAAGTGATCCTCCCACCTTAGCCTCCCAAGTAGCTAGGACCCCAGGCACACATCACCACACCCAATTAATTAAAATTTTTGTGTGTGTGGAATTAGGGCCTTGCTATGTTGTCCAGGCTGATCTTGAACTCCCAGTCTCAAGCAATTCTGTCTTGGCCTCCCAGAGTGCTGGGATTATAGGTGTGAGCCACTGTACCTGGCCTCAAATTATATTTTTAAGTATGTTAGGGGTGATACTGTTTCAAAGAAATTTGCAAAAATGTCTTGAGTAGAAGAAAAGAGTCGAGGTCTGGTGTGATTCATGTCTGAAATCCCAGCACTTTGGGAGGCTGAGACAGGCAGATTGCTTGGGCTCAGGAATTTGAGACTAATCTGGGCAATATGGCAAACCCTGTCTCTACAAAAAAGTACAAAAATCCGATGGGTATGGTGGCACGTGACTGTAGTCAGCCACCTGGTGGGAAGGGAAGGGGCAGAGGGTGGGGTGGTGAGGTGGGAAGATGGCTTGAGCCAGGGAGGTAGAGGTTGCAGTGAGCTGAAATCATGCTGATGTACTCCAGCCTGGCCTGGGTGACAGAGTGAAACCCTGTCTCCAAAAATTAATAAATAAATAAATAAATAAATAAATAAGAGTGAAACCCTGTCTCCAAAAATAAATAAATAAAAATAAATAAAATAATAAAGGAGTCTATTTGCAGGAAAAAAATTCTTTTTTCTTATTTTTGTTGTAAATTTTTATGATTGGGTATCACATAAATATTAGCAATACATTTTAGGTATCATAGAATATTAGCAATTTGTTAATGCATCTTATTAATGAAACTGGAGTATTTCTAACCTTACTTCCTGAGATGGTTTTAGGGAACACGTTTTACTTTTAAAACCTTGTTGGGGCATTCACAAAATTTCAATTTTGGGTAGCTTACCAGTGAAGAAATAGAGAATTTTTTAAAGAAAAGAGATCATGCAACCATTTCTTTCTTTCTTTGGTATAGGTAAACCCATTTAAGGATCTGGTTATAAAGTTGTTGGTTCCGTTCTGTGCTAAAAATATTCTTATATATATTTTTTACACATTGATTTTTACGTTTTTCTTGTTCTACAATATTCAATTTTAAGTATAGTTCATCAGAAGGGCCTGAATTACTAGGTCTTACTAAGTTGGAATGGTATTTTGGCAAATTTATGTTTTGATCTATCCTATAAGCTTAATTTTGAATTTTCAGGAAAATAGCATTAGTGAGAATTTTCTCTTGGTATGGCAGAAACCTGAGGTGTGAAGTAATACCACACATTTTTATTTAAAAAAACTCAGAAACTATACTATTGACTTCATGAGTTAAATAGACTAGTGGTTTTTGCATTTGTCAGTAGGAATTCTAATTATATTCTTGCTAGCATATACTGATTAAAGTCAAGGAAAAGCCTAAACCCAAGGGTGATTTTAGAAATAGCAAAGGGACCTGATGAAGAATTGAAGTGATCATTTTTTATATGACTATGTAACATGCAAATAATAAGTCTTTACATGTATTACTGTGTTCCCTATTACATAAAAACTAGTTCTGTTTTTTTCCCCTCTCTCTTTCTCCTTCTTACTCTCCCTCCTTCCTTCCATTGTTTTGTTTAGTTTTAATAAAAATGAGAATATTATCTGGTATTTCTGTCTCTTGCCAAAGCATGTAGTTTTGTGTTACTGGGTGGAATCTCAAAGGATAAGGATATACATTAATATATTTGTTTTACTATATTTTGAAATCTCTTTAGTTTATGGAGAACTATGGAAGACAGGAATGTTTGAACGCATGTCTCTGCAGACAGATGAAGATGAACACAGTATTGAAATGCATTTGCCTTATACAGCTAAAGCCATGGAAAGGTATATTGATTGATATAAGAAATCCCCAGGAAATCACAGACATTAATTTCTTTGGTATTTTAAAACTAGTAAATCCTAATAATTATCAGGATAAGGAGATTAAGAAATGAGATAAAAAAATTGAGACAAGAGTGTCTTAATGTGGATTGTTGGTTTCGAGTAGTTTGCCTGTGAAGGCTGAACATATGAATTGACATGATTGTTTTATTAGGTGGAAGTATTAAAAAAAAAAGTCATGGATATGTGAGTGTATGTGGGTATGTATGTATCTTGCTTTGCTTGTATTTTATTCATTCAACATTTCTTTATCTCAGAATAATAATTACATTCTTTTATGGTACCATGCTATAATTAATCATAAAATTTTAGGCTAGTATTTAATTTTGGAGGTCATTTACCTCAGCCTTTTGCAAGATACATGAATCTTTTTACGATACGCGTGGCAGATTATGTAGTACCTGCTAAAGGTCTTCCTGTGATGGGGTACTCACTGTACTGTGAGCAGAACAAGGACAAGGATGATACCTATTTTGTTCTCTACCGTATACCCCACTGCTTAGCACAATATCCAGCACATAGTAGTTATTAACGTATTTTGATAAAATGAAAAAATTATTTCAAGGGTTTTCTTCTTTTAGTAAAACATTTGGATTAGGAAGCCTTTTGTAGGTTTCTCTAATTTTTAAAACCATTTCCTATATATGGACTTAATATTTCATATTTAGTTGGGCAGTTCTAAGTACAGTAATATAATTCCTTCTCTGGATTTGTTCATTGTATTTTCTTAGTAAAGTACGTGATGATGCTCTGTAGGCTCTCAGTAAATATTAAATGTACTAATAAAGTCTAAGGTAACATTATATTTTTACATTGATGTAGCTTACTATTAGCTAATGTACTTGTGCTCAGCTGAAACACAAGGCCCTTTCATAATACTCAATGAATTATTTTCTGTTCTCAGACTTTTGTGTGGTTGATTTTTTTTTAACCCTGAATATGTATGTCTTCTCAATTATTGCTGTTTATTTTTTCTTGTTTAGCTCATTATTGCAGTCTTTTTGGATTATTTCCACTCTTACTCTGTATTCAAAGTGTTTACTTTTTTCAGTATTTTATCTGCTTCTGCTCACAATGATAACCATGAGGAACTATATAAATCTAAGGAAGCTTCAAAAAAAATCAGTGTGATACTACATTATAAGCAATATAATTTTAGGGTTTTTAATACATTCTAATTCTTCAGAAATGTGACAACATATATATTATTTCTTGAATTATTGATGTAATCAGAACTTTGTATTCTTCAACCAGAAATGATAATCAAATATTTTTATTCACTGAAATGTTTGCATATTTTCTCAAGAGAAAATATAATTTAGATTGACTTAATACTAATACTCTGGGTGCAGTGGCACTTGCCTATAATTCCAGCACTTTGGGAGGCGGAGCTGGGTGGATGGCTTGAGCCCAGGAGTTCAAGACCAGCTTGGGCAATGTGGTAGAAACTCCATGCCTACTAAAAATACAAAACTTAGCTGCGTGTAGTCTTGGGTGCTTGTAGTCTCAGCTACTTGGGAGGCTGAGGTGGGATGATTGCTTGAGCCTGGCTGGTTGAGGCTGCAGTGAGCCAAGATTGTGGCACTGTACTCCAGCCTAGGTGACACAGTGAGACCCTGTCTCAAAAAAACAAAAACGCAATAAAACCCCAAAAAACAGGACCAATAAACTGACAACAATATTCTCAAGGACGTTATAGCAGAATAACATTTTTATTGTTATTTTAAAAGTTAAACATGTACATTGTGGAACATTTAGGAAAATAGAAACTTAAAGCCAGCAGACAAAATTCCTATTTATAATTCCCTATTTTAAATAGTATCAAATAAACTACTGCCACATTACATTAGGATCCCTAATATTGATAGTACTTAGTACCTTTTCTTTATAACATTAGTTGGACTCATTATCTTATGTCAGTTATTTATTACTAAGTAACAAAAGCCGTTACTTAAAATTACCTATATCAGTTTTCTATTACTAAGTAACAGATTTAAACTGTGACTTAAAATTGGGGCAGGGAATGCCTTGTTCCAGTCCACAAGACACTGAGGTGACTCAAATAAGGCTACAGTATCTTGGCTAGCATCAGTCATGTGTCTTGCATCTTAGTGTTGGCTCTCTGTTGAGACCCCTCATTTCTTATGCAGCTGACCTGTTTGTTCATCAAGTATGGTGTGTTTTCTTTGCGGGGTGGGTGGGTGTTACTCTCTAGAATAATAGCTTAAAGTTGTTGTGTTTTTTTTTTTTTTTTTTTTTTTTTTTTTTTTGGTCATGAGAGTAAAACCAGAAATTTCTAGGCCTCTTATGTCCTAGGCTGGAAACTATGTAGCACATTGCCAGTGAATTGTGTTTTTCAAAGCAAATATGATCACTATGTCAGCTAAGATTTAAGGAAAAGAGCAACATATTGCTTCTCTTGATGGGAGGAATAGCATGTGTATACAGGAATAAGAGAAATTGTTGGCAGCTGTCTTTGCTGGTGGTCTACTACAGTTCTTCCTCTGGTGGATAATTCGTATCTCTCTAACATGTCATATACACCCAGCCCTCTCAGGATGTTCAGAAATCTTACCTACTATGACCCCAGGCTCAAAATCTATTATGATTTCCATCAAGTTAGGATATGAATGAGGCTCCTTGAGTGTCGATCCTCTTTTTGGGGGGCAAGGGATGGGGCAGGAGGCAAGGAAGAGTCTCAGCTCTGTTGCCCAGGCTGGAGTGCAGTGGCATGATCATTGCTCAACTATAGCCCCCACCTCCTGGTCTCAAGCTATCTTTTCACCTCAACCTCCCAAAGCAATGGGATTATAGGCATGAGCCACTGTGCTCAGCCTCTTTTTTTTGGTAAGAGACAGGGTCTCATTCTGTCACCCAGGCTGGAGTGCAGTGGCACAATTATAACTCACTGTAACCTTGAACTCCTGGGCTCAAGGGATCTTCCTACCTCAGCTTTCAAAGTAGTGGTACTACAGGTGCTACCATATCTGACTAATTTACTACCATATCTGGCTAATTTTAAAAACATTTTCTTAGAGACAGGGTCTTACCATGTTCCTCAGGCTGGTCTTGAACTCCTGGCCTCAAGTGAGCTTCTTGCTTCAGTCTCCCAAGTAATGTCTTAGTTATCTATTGCAGCATAACAAATCACCTCAAAGTATGCATTTTTTTTCTTTTTTTAAAAAATTAAAAACTTTGATTTTTTTGGGTGCATGTGTATATGGGGTACATGAGATGTTTTGATACAGTCATGCAGTATAAATAATCACATCATGGAGAAGGGGGTATTAAATACTTTAAGCATTTATCCTTCATATTACAGACAATCAAATTATACTCTTTTAGTTACTTTAAAATGTACAATTGAGTTACTGACTATAGTCACCCTGTTGTGCTATGAAATACTAGGTCTTACTCATTCTTTCTGTTTTGTTTTGTATCCATTAACCATCCCCACCTACTGCGCAGCCCTCCACTATTCTTCCCAGCTTCTGGTAATCATCCTTCTACTCTCCGTGTCTGCGAATTCAATAATTTTGATTTTTAGGTCCCACAAATGTGTATTTTTTCACTTACGATTCTATAGTTTGGAAATTTAGTTGAGTCAGTGGAGACGTCTCTGTTTGATCTGCTGTCATTTGAGGCAGCTTGGCTAAAGACTCCAAGATGTCTTAGCTTCCCCTCTGAGGCCCGTGGTGCTGGTTATCTTCTTGAGGCACATCAGTTTTCATTTTGGTTCTCATCTGTCTCTGCCTGTTGACACTCACCCTTCAGGGCTTCTCTCTTCACATGGTGTACCCTCTCTAGCAGGATAGCAATTGAGCAAAAGTAGAAATTTCCAGCCCTCTTAATATTTAAGTGTAGAAGCATCACTTATGCCTCATTCTCCTGGTCAAAGTGTGTCATAAGGCTAAATTCAAGGAGAGGGAACTACAGATGCTACTTTTGATGGGAGGAGTGACATTGAGCATTGAGAGGTGGGAAGAATTTTTGGTGATTAGATTTGTAGAAACTGTGGTTAAATACTTGATGGATTATTTGTATATAAGTCTTTGTTCCTTCCATGGTAGTTCCCTAATGTTTACTGCCTGGAGCAGCTAGTCTTCACCATGTCTGCTATGCATAGCACAGTACCTAGTATATAAAAGGATTTCAGTAATTAATTGTTGAATGAATTAATACCTGTCTTGCCATTTTCAATACTTTGATTAAATATTTTTTCCAAAAAGTGGATCAAATGTTTGTTTTCTTTTTAATTACCTTTTTTAATTTTCAAAAAATAAAAAATTTCTGAATCATCTTTGGCTATAAATATATATTTTTAAAAACTGCTTTTCTTGTCCTGAACGTATTTTCCTGTCATTTTTTACTCCATTTTATTGGTTCTGCATATAGCTTTCTAGTAAAGATCCTTGTAGTACTTTGATCAATTCTTGACCATTTAACTTTTAAGCTGCCCCTCATTTTTCACTATTATAAACCACATTATGTGTTTAGAAAAATAGTTATGTCTAAGATATTATTTAAACTTCCACATGTTTTTAATAGATTTAAAAATTATATTAGAGCTTTTAAAAAACAGTAATATAAAAAAGAAAACAAAATGACTCATCTCATTTCTCAGTTAACTCTACTGACAAAAAATATACATACATGGTTAGAAAATATACATAGAATCGAGAAGTGCAAAATGAATGGTGGAAGACTCTGGTTCTGCTTAGCTTGTGTTTACTGTCAGTAAAAGTTTTATGCATACATTAACATATTTTTGCATATGTAAGTTTGCGTATATGTGTAAAATTCATACATACACATATTTATGTTAAAACATATAAACAGGAGATCATGTCTTATGCACTTTGTTATGTTTTGTCCATATAGTAAAAAAAATTTTTTTCTTATGATTACTTTTTCCTTTATATGTCACCATATATTATCTTTAT